TCCACTGTCGGGCCAGTGCGAGCCAGTGCTTTAAACGAGCCGGGTGGGGCTATTAGCCTTGGACCTGTAGCACCGAGGCCAAAATCACTGCGTTTCCACCGTCGGGCCAGAAGCTACGCTGCGCTTCACTAAAACCCGCCCTTTACAGCACCTCTTAGGAACAACGTCACGCAAACCCATCATTTCAAGTTATCAGAAAACTAATAAGAAGTAAGTCACTGGAACTAGCGCGATCACAAACCGAACATGCTAAAAGCGGCCTTTTGTTTGCATGCTTTGTTAAAGATTTAAATCCAAAAGCATCAATGTGTTACAATAATAAGTGATACATTGATCATAATGAATTAATTTATCAGGATTGAAAATTAGTCACACAGAAATAAAGTGGTATGAACATAGCCTACCTACTTACTCAGTCGAGTCTGTTTGTGCTTATTTGTAATCAAAGTCAGGCACGGCACCAGAATTTTTTCTCTACCGGTGCTAAGGGGGGGCTAGACCAATATGTGGGGGTGCTAAGAAAACAAATGATATTGATGAGCCCCCCTAGCCCCGGTGTAGCGCCGTCACTGGTCAAAGTATATGCATCACATTTAGAAAGAATGATCATTTCTATATTTTTATAAAAGCTCCCGAACAAAAACCATTATTATATTTTTATGACATACGCTGAGCTAAACTCTCGAGACGAGACTTATGACAGATAAAATATGTTACTAAGTAAATACACGATTGTGATAGAGAATAAGAAGCTGACGTCTGATTTCTTCATGCGGTCGTATTTATGTTTACTACAGTAACGTTAATGGCTAGCATGCATAGTATTTTGCATCACTTATAAATATTTGTGCCTTGTATGGTGATCATAATACACTTTGGATCAAGTTATTTCAAACACTCGCTGCTGTCTGAAAGTGAGTTTTGAACTAAACTTATTTTAAAAGTCTTTAATGCTGGTCTGTTAACTTTATGAAATGATCCGTGGCGCTAACGTTCTCCAGACGCGTAGAAATTCCGCCTTTGTTCATAGCCACTCCTCTAGTCCGCTAGATTTTCGTCGGGCCAAAAAACCCGGGCCGTTGGCCCCGAGGAAGCACCGACGAGGCACGATCAAGCCCCGGAAGTGACTTTGGCTTTTCTGGATAATAAACATACCTAATAAACAAACATACCATTGTTAATAGGTCTTAGATATCATCCTTGATTATCAGGGCCCATATGAAATTTTATTTACTTAAAAGGGGTGTCATAAATAAAAATAAATATATTTTATACTAGTAAAGTGTGGTCAATATAATATCTAGTGATTTTGTAATATCTTGGACATTGTAATTTTCATTTTCAGTGATTTTCATTCATATAATGTTCAGCTATTAATAAATTCAGCTATAATTAAATGAAGCTGTTTTCAGTTAATTCACCAGTTAAAAAAATGTAGACAAGAGGACCAGTTTACAACAGGAATATTGCAAGCTTTCTAAAATATCTTAGCCCATTTATCGTCCATTAATAATTTTTTCTCATTTTACTTGATATACTGATTATACTTGATATACTTGACCTAAATCATACCCTTATGCACATATACAGTGGGTATAGAAAAGCATCAACCCCCTTTAAAATAATCACATTTTGTTGCTTTGCAGCCTGGAATGAAGACGGACACAGTTTTTGTTTTATCCATCTGTATTTACTCAGTGCAACCGCAGAATCACTGAGTTGGAAAAAGGATCACCCCCTTGTGTCAGTATTTTGTCTGTTGGGATATGTCTCTGTCTCTACTAACTTTGCACATCTAGACTTTGCAATATTTGCCCACTCTTCTTTGCAGATCTGCTCAAGTTCAGTTAAATTTGATGGGGAGTGTTTGTGGACTGCAGTCTTCAAGTCATTCCACAGATTTTCAGTGGGGTTTAAGTCTGGGCTCTGACTAGGCCATGCAAGGACATTCAGCCTTTTCTCCTTCAACCACTGTGTGGTCAGTTTTGCTGTGTGCTGTTCTTCCACGTGAGCAAAGCTCAGTCGTGACTGCATGTGGCCTTTCTTGAGGAATGGTGTTTATTTGTTGTTGTTGTTTTTTTTACATGTTGGTGATTTATCTTTCACTTGGATGTTATAAGTTTGTCGGTATTATATCTTTCACTTGGATGTTATAAGTTGCACTGAGTAAATACAGCTGGATAAAACAAAACCTCTGTCCATCTTCATCTTCGATTATTTTAAAGGTGGGTGATTATTTTCTATACCTACTGTAGGTATGTAAATAAATAGCTCCACAAGCTCAAATTTTAATGTTGTAAAATGTGTATGAATTCACATTGTTTCCATGAAGGATAACTGTTACCATAATTGTATTTCTTCTAAGTCAGTTTTCTCTTACAACTTACAAAATTGCATACTGTCAAAGTACTACATTTGAAGAAGAACTTAGTTTGGGACCTTAGTGTGTACACAACCACCCTATAATGATAAAAATTCACCCACTTCTTTTTTTAATCCCCATAAATCATAAGCAGTGTCTCAGAGCAATCCGTTCTCAGAATTTGTACAAAGTGATGTCAGGGGTGATTCTAGGATTTTTTTAATGGGGTGGCACAGGGGGGGCCCATGGGAAAAGTCATGTGCCCCAACACAAGTGGGATGACATAAAAATGGCACTGCACAAGTGCCTTTAATCTTTGAAACAACAGAAAGAAATGTAACATAACGTTTTAACATAAATGTAAATTTTTTGAGTCATTCAGTCATTCATTCAACCGACTCCTTCCAATGGATGATTAATTCAGAAACGAGGCAAGTGAGGCATCAAATTCTTTATGAATTGCCCACTGAATCATTGACTCAATTTGTTCAAAAATGTAACAGATTCATTCAGGATCGAAACGCCGCTGTGACCTATTTTCATTTGTGAAATTGAGCAAAACAGACAATACAATATTGTGTCTAAAATTTTACATAATATTCTTGTTTATTACATTATTGTATAAAATCAATATCACATTTGCAATCGTGCAGATATTCAGGAAAAACAGCACTCTTGCTTGTGATATTGATAAATTATATCATATATATAAACCCAAACGCGTTATTTTTTCCATAATTAATTGCACCAATTAAAACGTTAATTGTTAGACATAATTACATTTATTAGGTGCTGCATCTGAATAAATGTTTATGGATTATCAATATGTTTATTTGAATCATCAGTTTTTCCATTATAATTAGTTAAACCTGAACACACACACACACACACACATAAAGAGAAAAAAAGCCGTATCTGTGTATATTACGAAAAGACTGATCAAATTTTGTGCTAGGTTTAAGGCTAGATTATTATTATTTTTTTTTTCATGTTTTTAACAGGACACACCATAGCATATGTGAGTTAATGTTACTAACCTTTGTGGATGCATTCTAAGATGTGATACGTTCTAAGATTTGATGCTGTCATTCTGGTATCTATAACTCTTTCCCCGCCAGCATTTTTGAAAAAAGTTGCCAGCCACCACCAGCGATTTTGATGATTTTCACTAAAATTTGATGGCCTCCAGAATATTTTACTGTATGAATATTTGAATATGCAATACACCAAAATAAACTTTTAAACAAAACAATCAGTTTTATTCTAGCTTAAAGCATTCTTTTTTTTATCAATACTTGAATATAGGTAGGTTTCATAAAAATGCATAATTTTGAGCAAAAAGGTGAGAAAATCTAATTTTTATCAAAAACTACACCTGGGTAATATTCAGTTCGATTATCAAAGCATAAATCCAGTAAATCGCTTCTATCAACACCTCCAAAGCTTGCACAGACATATACCACTTCCTGGATCAACATTTTACTCCGTAACATTATGCAGTTTTAATTTATATGCTGCCATTGCTGATGATCACATTATTTTTCATATGCATCTGTTTACATAAGAGATCGCTCATTTCTCCATCCTGTACATGTGTTTTTGTTCGGGAGGTTTTGTACTCGTTCAGAAGATGTGTAATAGCGCCCCCGAGTGTACAACTGTGAAAACACGAAAAGCCGTAAAAACTCATCTTTGGCGGGAAAGCGTTGTCTTCTAAAAGACGAGATAGCTCGTCAATGGTGGGGAACGAGTTAATTGTTTTCCCACATTTACTGCATCTAGCCGATCTTTATGAAGTTCCTGATTCTGACACACTAATGTAACCAAATGTGAGAACATATACACGGTGGCTCCCACCACGTTTCATACTCTTCTGACATTTCGGAATGTACGCGCAATACGCTGATGTACGTCATCAAATACTATGATAAGAGTCCCAGCTACATCATCAAGGAAATATGTGATGCAGATATAGTAAAACGACATAAGTAAATTCCAAGTTTATGACATCAGTAGTTATAAAAGATAAAAGACTCAAGTTGTGTTTAAAATATTCACAAGTTCTTCTCGAGTCGAGTCAAATATGAAGTCATTTTAGGTCAAGTCTGGAGTCGAGTCTTAAGTCTATTAAAATGCGATTCGAGTCCAAGTCACTAACTCTAGTGCCCATCTCTGGTTTAAACTGATATGGCTTTAAAATGCATGCAAATAATTTTAGCATATTTCTGCTTTCTGCTCAAAATGGGCATTTTCAAAATGGTATAATAAATGATCTGTGGGGTATTTTGAGCTGAAACTTTAGACAAATTCTGGGGACATCTGAGATTTATATTACATCTTGTAAAACGGGGCATAATAGGTCCCCTTTAAAGGATTAAGGAAATGTAGGTATTATTTCATTCTTATAACTGAAAAACTGCATTACAAAATTCCATGTTTCCACGATGCTTGAGAAACCTGATTGTTTTCTCATCAGGTTTTTGAGTAGGCATTGGCTTGAGTTCTTGGAGAAAATGTCACTGATATAATCATACTATAATATAGATGGGAAAATATCTGCTAGCTATAGTTATGAAACACATTTTCATCCACATATTTAAACATAGTAATTCAGTTAATGTGAATGTCAAACCTCAGTATGTTCAGGTGACAGTGTGAACTCTTCAGTCCTTCATAAAGCAGCTTCACTCCTGAATCCTGCAGGTGATTGCTACTCAGGTCCAGCTCTGTCAGATGAGAGTTTGATGATTGTAGAGCAGAAGACAGAGTTTCACAGCATGTTTTATCAAAACCACAGCCGTCAAATCTGTCAAAACAAAATGTTTAGCCAGATTATTTTGTGAAGTTTAGTGTTTATGCATTAACAGGAAAATATTTCACATCGTATTTTGGCATTTAATTGTTTAGTGATGTAGAACAAAACATTTAAAGGGTTAGTTCACCCCAAAATAAAAATGTGGCTGTGTTTTACTCACCCCCGAAGCATCCTAGGTGTATATGATATTCTTCTTTCAGACGAATCCATTCGGAGTTATATAAAAAATTGTCTTTGATCATCTCACTGTTGTAAAACGGAAGCAATTCCGGGGGAATTACGTATGAGGTCAGCTTTGCGCATGTGCCGCTCAGAAGTGAAAAACACAAACAACGGTCACTAATTAGAAGTACAAAATGAGGATTTATAAAGAAGAATGTCGGAGGATTTCGATATAAGCCAAGAGGAAACTGTTTTTCCTTTGCTAAAGTAAGGAAACTTTGCTTCTTTTGATCCTGTAAACAAACGTTGGTTTTCACGAGACTCACCGGCGCATGCGCAAAGCTGAACTCATACGTCATGCTCCCGGAACTGCTTCTGTGTACAACTGCTGGCGCAAGCTAGATTCAAGTGATTATTACATTTTGAATATGGATATTTTTCTAACAAAACCGCATCGATTCACTAGAGGAGGCATTTGTTCCCCCCCCTCTTTTTTTTTTTTTTTTTGTGGAAGGGTGCTTTTTATTTCACGTCTTTTAGACAGGAGGAATGCAACACCCGCTGAGTACAACGATAGAGCTTGAAAGATCAAAGACAATATTTAATATAACTCTGACTGGATTCGTCTGAAAGAAGAAAGTCATATACACCTAGGATGCATCGGGGGTGAGTAAAACACTAATTTTCATTTTTGGGTGAACTAACCCTTTAATTGAACCGCAGTGAGTGAAATTACTCACAGGGCTTTTCTGCAGCATCTCACAGCTGGAAGGAGTCTCTTGTAGTCTGCTTGTGATGATGTGAACCTCTTTGGGTTGAACTCATCCAGCACCTTCTCTGACATCAGCAGTATGTAGGTTAGCACTGTGCACATCGAAGATGAGAGTTTTCTTCGCGGATGTTCATCTGATTTAAGGTAACTCTGGATTTCCTCATATAACGAATTATCCTTCAGCTCAAGTAAGCAGAAAAATAGGTTGACTGAAGTTTCATCTGAGATACTGTATTCGTTTTGGACTCGTTTAATGTATTCAGCTGTTTGTGTAATGCTTTCTGTGGTGTCTTCAGTGTGGTTGATCAGGCCTTTGAGCAGGGCTTGGTTAGATTTCAGTGAAAGGCCCATCAGAAACCGTAGGAACAGGTCCAGATGTCCGCTCTCACTCTTTATGGCTTCATCAACAGCCTTCTGTAGTAGCTCCTGCAAAGTGACATTTTGTTTTGGCTCATCAAAGAAAAACTGAAACTCCTGCATCTTCTTGTTCATGTAACAGATGATAACATGCACTGCAGCGAGGAACTCTTGAACACTCAGATGCACAAAGCAGAAGACCTTTATCTCATGAAGTCCATTTTCCTTCTTAAAGATCTCAGCAATCATTCCTGTGAACTCAGTGGCAACATTCACCTCAATATCACATTTTTCCAGATCTTCCTCATAGAACACAATGTGTTTCTCCTTCAGCTGTTCAAACGCCAGCTTGGCTAACTTCAAAATCATTTTGCTATTTGATTGTAAATGCTTTGTACGTTGTCTTTCTTCTTGTTCATCATACTTCTGGTTCTTCATGTTCATCTGTATCAGCAGGAAGTGAATGTACATTTCAGTGAGGGTTGTGCTGATGTTCTCTGTATTGTTCTCAATGGGAATACTCTGAAGTACTGTGGCTGTGATCCAGCAGAACACAGGAATGTGGCACATGATGTAGAGACTACGAGACGTCTTAATGTGTGAGATGATTCTGGAGGCTTGAGTCTCATCTGTGATTCTCTTTCTGAAGTACTCCTCCTTCTGTTGGTCAGTGAATCCTCGCACCTCTGTGAACAAACCTACATACTGAGGATGGATCTGATTGGCTGCTGCTGGGCGTGAGGTCACCCAGACAAGAGCTGATGGAAGCAGATTCCCTTTGACCAGACTCGTAAACAGCACATCTACAGATGATCTTTCCTGAACACTGTTCAATATTCCGCTTTCAAAATTCAAAGGTAGTCGACTCTCATCAAGTCCATCAAATATAAATGCAAGTTTAGATTCCGTATATAACTTTGATTTCGCCAGGTCCTTCAATTCTTTATAAAATACTTGTAAGAACTCATGGAGATTGACCTCTCTGTCTTTAATGCTGTTAATCTCTCGGAATGGAAGCATGAACACACAGTCTATATCCTGATTGGCTTTTCCTTCTGCCCAGTCCATGATGAACTTATGAACAGACACAGTTTTTCCAATGCCAGCAATGCCCTTAGTCAACACAATCTTTTTCTCATTTTTTCTCCTTAATAGTGTAAATATAGCATTGCAGTTGATTGGTCTGTCCTGTGATTCCTGGGTCTTTAGAGCATGATCATTTTTCAGAAACTCATGTTCCTGATTGACATCTTTCATATCTCCCTCTGTGATGAACAGTTCTGTGTAAACAGCCTCGAGACATGCTTCATTTTCTTTCTTGCACTCAAAAATACGTTCTACTTTCTTCTTCATGTTGGTTTTGTGAGTTTCCAAGAATTTTTGCAGCCTCAAAACTTCAGGGCGAAAAAAAAAATGGATAGTATTGAGGAAATGGCATTTGAAAATGGACATTGACAATATTGTTAACTGGTGCAGGCAAGGAAATTATATTCATACACTCTTAAAAATAAAGGTGCTTCACGATGCCATAGAAGAACCTTTTTGTCTAAATGGTTCCATAAAGAACCTTTAGCATCTGAAGAACCTTTCTGTTTCACAAAAGGTTCTTTGTGGCGAAAGAAGGTTCTTCAGATTATAAAAAGGTAAGAAAGAGATGGTTCTTTAAAGAACCTTTGACTGAATGTTTCTTTGTGGAACCAAAAATGGTTCTTCTATGGCATCGCTGTGAAGAACCTTTTGAAGCACCTATATTTTTAAGAGTGTACTGCTGCAAGCCAAACCAACATGTCAAAGTACTTTGAACTTACTGTAAGGAAGAGGACAATGCTGCTTTCACATGTTATTGGACTATTTTTAGAGAAAAGCCATTTCATACAGGAAAATCTCTTCTCACCTTCTGTTTCTGTTTTCTGACTTTCCTTTAGCACTTTTAATACTTGAGAAGCAACAAGTTTTTATTACTCAAGTATTTTGTCTTACTGGACTGAAAGATTTTTTCATGTTTTAAAAACACAGCAAAATTCTTGGTGTGAATTTAAGTCCACACTCAGAGTGTAAATAATGACATTGAAGCAGTGTTGACGTTCATGAAATGATTAAGGGCCTGTTTACACCTGGTCATTTCACGCATTTTCGCTGATTGGATATCTATCTGATTTGTTCAAACGTTTCCATTTACACTTGGCCACATAAATGTGTCGTTGCAAAACGCATTTAAATCCGATCTTCAATTCCAGCGCTATATTTAAATTGAATGGAGGTCAATGTGTCGTCGCAAAACGCATTTAAATCCGATCTTCAATTCCCGCGCTATATTTGAATTTAACAGAGTCAACGAAATCAAAAGATAAGCGCTGCATTTAATTAACTATCAGCTCATTACCGCAATAGGAGAGCGCGCGACATCAGCACTGGAAAGATAAGTTTGTCTTACTACTTTTAATGAAGATGATTGTGTGTTGACCGTCTGCGTCTTACTTTGTTTCATTCGTGGCAGTTTGCGCGTTGGCTTGCGGTGGCTAACATTTTGGGAGGAGTAAAATTGACATATGTGGTTTCAAAAACCAGATGCATTTACACAGTTTCGTCTGGAATGCGGCCCGGACCACCTCCTGAAGTGTTTGAATGCGTTTCACCTCGAATGCGTTTCGGAGGGCATTTACGCCTGGTCTTTTCACGATCGGATAGCTATCCGATCAGACAAAATGCATGAAGTGACCAGGTGTAAACAGCCCTTAAGTGAGTCATTATGTGATAATTAATAACAATTGATGTTTTGTTGAAAGGTTCTTTTGAAGTCACCATTATGGTTATTAGTTGAATATTTAACCCTTAACTTTGAAGGTGACAATTATCATGAAGTGACCCAATTTATTGATATTAGTGTGTTGTGCCATTAATATACTTCAATTTTGCATTACCAACTACAGTACGAAATCCAATAGCAATCAGTTATTCAGAAAGATTTAAAACATGTTCTGCATAAAACATTCTGGACAACTGTATCATTTAGGCACACAGACATCAACAGTCACGTCAATGAAAATGCTTTTGGAAAGATGTTGTATTTTGTAGCATCTTTGAGGTGTGATGGTTTGCAAAATAAATACAAATTTAACTCAAGGGTCAAGTGCTCAACTTACCCTAACCCACACTAATTAACATAATGGTGAGGTTTTTAATCATCCTCTTCTGCAATCTTGAAAGTAGTGCTGGGTAGATTACTTACAAATTGTAGTCTGTTACTGATTGCAAACTACATGATGAAAACTGTAGTTAGTAATGTAATGTAATCTAAATTATTCATTTTAGGTAATGTATTCTGACTACTTTTGGGTTACTTTTAGATTATTTTGACTTCACTTGTTTATAGATGTAAATGGGTTAAATTTCAGAGGGACAGTGGACTTCAAAGGGATTTGACCAGCAAATAAATAAATAAATAAATTAGGAATTCCTGCATCACATGAACAATCATCAATAAACATGAAAACAACAATGACATGGTCAAAGTCTTCCCGGTTTTAAATATTTTTGTCAGTTATACATCGGCAGTGTTTAGTAACTTGCTTAATTATTCAACACGTACATGGTATAGATTGAGAGGTGCATTTGTCCCCAAGTTCAGATGCATGGATTACAAATTAATTTGCATGACATTTACATGTCCATTCTATATTGTAAATACTCACTGTATTCAATATGGCACACAGTAGAATTTTTTAGAGAGAAAAATTTGAAAGAGAAACAAAAATTAATCAATAAATTATTAATATACTGTGTGAATAATTTATGTAATCCATAAAAAGTAACTGTAATCTGATTATGAATATTTTAAAATGTAATGCAATCTAATTACAAGTACAAAACGTTTGGAATCTGATCATGTAATCCAGATTACATGTAATCAGTTACTACCCAGCACTGCTTAAGAGATTTAAAGGGGTCATGAACTGTATTTTATTTTATTATTTCATGTTTCCTGAGGTGCATTTTTAATGTTCGTATGACTCTTACATTGAAAATTGTATGGAAGCCCATTTACGCCACTGAATAAAAATTAAAACAAGGTAATTGCGACTTTTTATCTCACAATTCTGACTTTTTTTTCCTCGGAGTTGCGTGATATAAACTCGCAATTCAGAAATTTTTTCTCAGAATTGCAAGTTCATATCTCGCAATTCTGACTTTATAACACGCAATTGCGAGTTATAAAGTCAGAGTTGCGTGATATAAACTCGCAATTGCGAGTTATAAAGTCATAATTGCGAGTTATAAAGTCAGAAATGCGAGATATAAACTTGCAATTCCAAGAAAAAAAGTCATAATTGCGAGTTTATATCACACAATTCTGAGAAAAAAGAAACGGTTTCCATAAAATTGTAAATGTCAAATTAAAAAACGTATCTGTGTTAGTAATGTTTTTTTTGTTCACTAATTAAGCAGTACTTAAAGTGTTCTTTAAATAATAACTGGAAAGCGAAGTTACATTTGTAAAGAGAATTACTTTCTTCTTTTTTTGCTGATATGAAAAATGATCTGTTCCATGACTCAAAACCCATAAAAAGTTCTGAACCGTGAGTCTTGTGATTAGTTTCACCAATATTTCTTAGTGTTAAGAAAAAAATACTTAGATTCCACATACAATTTATGAAAACAAGTCTTAATATTTTATATTACACTACATTCATTTCTGAAGTAAATTCATACTATTTAGGCTTAAACGTTTATATGTATTTGGTTTGGTAAACTTAAATAAAATAGATTTTGTTTATCTTATATTCTTGCACAGTTCTCATCATGGTAACTAATGTCACACTCATAGTTGGTTGGAGCTTTCAGGTTAATGTAAATGGTAATCCACACATACACAATGCAGGTTTGTAACTTTTCTGCTATGTGCAAGTTTTGTGTTGATCATTTTTAGGATGTGTAAATTATTTTGGTGGGGAATCATTATGAAGTATCTAAGTGCAAAATCACAACATCTATGAATTAATAAACACTTCAGTTCTCAACTGTTTATTTATTTAAATTCCTGCAGGTATAACTCTATCCTATTGGGTGTTTTAATATTTTCTTCATTAGGATTATGGCAAACTGGAGTGGTGTAGTTCATATATTGTTAAAACGTTTGGCTGTAAAACTCTGTTATATCTATGGTTGATTTACCTTGATATTCTCTCTGTTCCTCTGCTGTCTCTAAAAATGTATGTTGATCTGTGAGGAGAAAGAAAAGATGCATAAAGAATGAGATAAATAAAAGAAACAAATAAATATTGTTAGATATCATTCCATAGTATTAAAATGATGTTAGTCCTAGTCATGTGAGTCCTATTAAAATTACTATGAGGTTGTAACATTACCAGTCTTATCATAGTAATGTAAATGTACCATTTCCTGCAGGATTTGAGCCATAAAAGTTTATTGTTCCACTGATGATGTTTCGAGCCAATAAAGGAGCATATACACTTGCACATGTTTCAGCATTTATATCCTGGCTGACTCCAGTCTGGTCATTTTTCATCTGGACTGAATCAGAGTGTCCTGAACGAGAGAGATTGATTCATGATTTTTTAGACAGATTTGCTTGCATTACAACATCATATATAATAGCGATATTCATTCCTTTATTAAGGGGTCAGTATCCACACACACTTTTTAAGCATACCATGTAATAATATAAACATTAAGACATTTTTATGCTTTCTGACTCTGTTGGTGATGTGTTCAAGGAACCCATTAACTGGAATCCACAATACTAGCCACCATCTTTTATCTAAACAACAAAACTTTAGTGCTACTTGCTAAAAACCCTAAAATGATTGTCAAATACTCATCAAATACAGACCAAATGTAACTTACAACTAGATGTTTGGTTTAGTTTAAAGTTTCTCAAACTAGGGTCCCCAACAAGGCTAAGTGATAATGTACAGGCAGCAGATTGTTATGCAAAAGAAACCTCATCAGCGTGATACAAAATTAAATTAAAAATTTAATTATTAATTTATTATAATTATAATAATACATTATTTACTGGTTATTTGTGATACAAGATACAAAATATAAATTCATGATGCATGTTTCTGCATTTAGCATAGACGGGTTTGTGAAAGGACTAATAATAAATCTACTTCAAACGTCACAACTAGCAGAGCAACACAAAAAGCAAATAGAACCTACTATAATCAGTGATGCGGTCTATGCTCGATTCAGCGCAACAAATTCCTGACAATAAACTGATGTCCTGTTCTATTTCTGACATTATAAATTCTGACAAAAAAAATCTGTACAAAAGAAAGGCTGGCAGAAAAAGTTTGGGAACCAACTCTTTGATTTCTTTGTTCTTCAGGTTTTGTATCTTTGCTTCTCTTCATGTGCATATCATGTTTGATAATAGACTTCTGGACATGGATTCATGACCCCAGCTCTGTCTGAGTCTTATTGTTACGTTAAAGTTGCTTCACCTTGTTTTTTTCCATGTTTCTCTTCTGTGTCTGGGCATTCATGTTCATATGTGAAGAAAAAGATGAATAAAGAATGTTAAAATATAAACAGAAGTTACAGATAAATATTAAGTGAGATATTGTTCCGTCAAACTAATAAAAGTGTCTCAACTAGATGTTCTGAACTTCAGTCGTCTGTAACAGCAACAGCATCTGTAAAAGGCGTTTCTGTTTTGATCCTCATCCAGTGTATCCATCTGCTCTGACGTCATCTTCTGTCACTGACTCACTTCTGCTGGACAAGAAAAAGATTTGTCTTTTACTACAGTAGTACTACAGCAAAGAAAAAAGCAATTCTACAAACAGGATGATGTCCTTGCACTGCACTGTTTTAGTATTTAAATTAGGGTGCAAATAAAATTTGTCTAAGTAAAGTCTGGAGAGGCTGATTCATTGAGGACTGTTGGAATGCAGCTGAAATCATTCAGAAACAACATCCAGTCTGTATGTGATAATCATATCTAATCATATGATGAAACATTTTTTTCATCATGATTTTTCATGAGATTTTTTTTTCATGAGATTTTTCAGTAGGCTAACACCACAGTGTCACAATAATCTCAGAATCTAATCTAATCCACAATAATCTCAGATTGACATCTACAGGCAGCAGTTCAGATAGTCATATGGCTTGAGCAGGCTTTGATATTTCAGTCTAATCTTATAGTGCTTGTGTTGGACAGACAGAGAAAGCAGATGGTGAGATGGGCTGTGGCTTGTGTGTTTCTGAAGGCAGAAATATGTATATTGGCTGTAGCAGCTGGACCAATAAAACACACAATTATTCATTATATTCAATGAATAATCCAATATGTCTCATAAATAGCGGCACGAACGGACGCAGGTGCCCCTCTCTTTCTGACATCGGTGTTTAATTGTGCACTTTCGAGTGCTTTTTGTTCACGTTCATGTTTGTATGGTTCGCCGTCATCCTTGTCCCATGTAAGATACAGTCGCCATTTCCTTTTAGAAACTGAAACAAGGACAATAAACCACATCTTGGACAACACAGTATCCGAGGAACTTCGAGCCCTTGGTATATTCCGCTGGCCGACTTAAAACACTGACCTCGCCTGCTGCTCCTCACCCAGAGAGGAGGTGCCGAAAGCGCTGCGAGAGGAAACAGAAGCGAGGCAAACGCGGAGGCATCTGGGCTAGGCTAGCAGCTAGCCCACACAGACCCACGATACCATCCCTCATTCTAGCGAATGTAAGATCACTGGATAATAAAATACAACATACAACTTATAATATCTGCACAGTGTGAGGTGAGAGAATGTTGTGTTTACATCTTTACGGAGACGTGGTTAAATGACAACATACCGGACTCCGCTATCCAGCTAGCTGGGCGAACATGCTACCGTGCTGACTGAGTCTGTGCTGAGGGAGGTAAGACTCGGGGCGGAGATGTTTGTGTTTATGTCAGCGACGCTTGGTGCCAAAAAGCTGCTGTTGTTCGTAAACACTGTTTTCCGCTGGTAGAGTTTATTATTATCAAGTGCCGACCCTTCTACTTACCGAGGGAATTTACAGTCATTTTACTCGTCGCTGTTTATATCCCCCCCAGCGTTAACAACAGCGACCGAATCGAGGCACTCAGTGAACTTTACCAGGCTATCAGCGAGCAACAGACAACTCACCCGGACGGATTTCTCATCACTGCTGGGGACTTTAATCATGCAGATTTAAAGTATTTTCTACCAAAACTTCATCAGCACATAGACTTTCCCACAAGGGGCAATAATACATTGGACTTGGCATACACAAACTGCAAAGGAGCATACAAAGCCTCCCCCCTCCCCCACCTTGGACTCTCTGACCACATCACCATCATGCTCAGACCTGCATACAGACCAAAGGTGAAAGTCACCAGAACAACCAAGAAGGAGGTACGTGTGTGGCCACAGGGGGCCCAGTCTGCCCTTAAAGATTGCTTTGACACAACAGACTGGGACACCTTTAAAGAAGCAGCAACTTACAACAACCACACAGACATAGAGGAATATACTGAAGCTGTTACTGCTTACATCACAAAGTGCACTGATGATGTCACACACAGGAAAACCATCACTGTTCGGGTTAACCAGAAACCATGGCTGACAGGAAAAGTGCGCAAGCTTCTGAGGGCTCGGGACGTAGCCTTTAGAGCTGGTGACACTGCAGGCCTAGCAACAGCAAGAGCCAACTTGTCCCATGGAATCAGGGAAGCAAAACAACAATACAGCAATAAAATATCTGGACATTTCAGCAACACCAGAGACACACAAAGTCTCTGGCAAGGAATACAAACTCTAACAAACTATAAAGCCCTACCACGGACCTGTGACAGTGACATATCTCTGATTAACTGCCTCAATGAATTCTTTGGCCGATTTGAGACCCAAAACAACACACAGGCCCACCTTTCTCACACGAGCAGGCTGTGTGTCTGACCCCAGACAGCGTGAAAAAGACCCTCCTGAGGATCAACCCACGCAAGGCAGCCGGACCAGACAACATACCTGGTCAGATCCTAAAGGATTGCCATCTCAGCTGCTCTCCATCCAGCCCTTACTCACCTAGACTCCAAAGACTCCTATGTGCGAATGCTATTCTTGGATTTTAGTTCAGCATTTAACGCAATCATCCCACAGCAGCTAATAAGCAAACTGAGACACTTGGGACTCAACTCCCCTCTCTGTAACTGGGTGTTGGACTTCCTATCAGAGAGACCACAAAATGTACGGGTCGGCGGAAAAACATCTAAGACCATCACGCTAAACACAGGGGCACCACAAGGGTGCGTACTCAGCCCGCTGCTCTTCAAGTTTGCGGATGACACTACTGTAGTGGGCCTCATAACCAACAACAATGAGGCCAACTACAAGAGCGAAGTGAGCCGACTGGTCCAGTGGTTTAATGACAACAATCTCTTCCTTAATGTGGGGAAGACAAAAGAACTTGTCATCGACTTCAGAAGAAGACCTCCACAGCACCCCCCACTAACCATCAACGGTGCTGTAGTGGAGAGGGTGAGCAGCACCAAGTTCCTAGGGGTGCATATATCTGAGGACCTCTCCTGGACGACAAACACCACATCGCTGGCCAAGAAGGCTCAGTCACGGCTCTACTTCCTCCGAAAACTAAGGAAAGCACGAGTCCCACCACACATCATGTGTTCCTTCTACTGGGGCACCATTGAAAGCATCCTCACCAGCTGCATCACAGTGTGGTTCGGATGCAGCACTGCATCCTGTCGAAAGACTCTACAACGCATAGTGAATGCAGCCAGCAAGATCATCGGTGTCTCTCTTCCACACCCGCCTCACTAGCAGAGCCATCAGCATCACTGCTGATAGCTCACACCCGTTAAGCCTCCACTTCAGCCTTCTGCCTTCAGGGAGAAGGTACCGGAGCCTCCAGGCTCGCTCCACAAGGCTTTCAAACAGCTTCGTCCATCAGGCTGTCAGGAAGCTGAACTCTGTCCATTACCTCCCCCCCTCTTCCACCCACTCCTGAACTTCAAAAATCTACAGTTCATGCCACATTTCTTTCGTTGCACAGAGGACACTTTATACTCTCTGCACTTGCAGACTTTACAGTATTTTTGTGCATTAATGACATACTGCTGCTATCTGTCTTGTAGCTTACAAATGCCTTTATACTCAGAACTTCACAATGTTTACATATTTTGGATGTATATTTGCACTTTACAAATTGTTTACATATATTTGGACATATATTTATACATTAACAAAGTTCATGCTGGGTTTGGGTCCATCTTTCAAATAATTGACGGTCCGTGTCGTTTCCGGGTAGTACATTTTTGACATTTCACGGTTCTGCACGGGCCCGGGTCCAACTTTCAAAATAATAGACGGGTCGGTTCATTGTAGCACATTTACGAATTTTTGGACCCGTGTAGACCTCTATCCCTAAGTCACAACTAAAACCCAGATGCAGAAGAGGCCTCTGGTTACCATGGCAACAAACCGTGCTTTACCCACCGTGCAAAACGTGTGACAGTTAGCAGACCCCCAATGTATACACATGTTGGTCTACAGGCCTTGACTTGACTGTCAGCACTTCTTTGTCTTCAAGTATGCCAACTGGCCCTTTTGTTACTGAAGATAGAGGAAAAGACAGGAAAGCAGAAGTCTTTGATAATTTTCAACCTTACAAAGTGATCCTCACATTGTACGCTTGTTACATTAATCAGAAAATAAAGGGACACAAAACTGCTGGCCCATTCTGATAATTCTGATCAAATAAAAGTTAGAGAGAAGTGGAGACTTTCCTCTACTAACACTAACACTAAACTTTCCTCTTAGTAGAGAGGACTGTCACTACAACTCACTGCAGTTCATCATTCTTCACTCAACCCACAAGAACCTGATCACAACTTCACCACCACTGAACTATCAAAACCATCCCATGATCCATACTTGGAATATGTGCTCTACATTTAATCCATCCAAGTGCACACACACACGGCAGTGAGTAGTGAACAAACACACACCGTGAACACACACCCAGCGTGAAAAGCAACGGTCCTAGTACTGAACTTTGTGGTACTACATGCTGCGCTTGTGATCGATATAATACCTCATCATTTACTGCAACTAATTGATAACCGTCAGACAAGTTTGATTTGAACCATGACAATGCAATTCCACTAATGCCAACTGTTAGGATTGAGTTGTGTTGGTTTGGGTGTTTTGGTTTATTTTCTCTGTTGCAGGTTTTGTGATTGGGGCATGACTTGAGTGCACCTGATGCTCGTCAAAGGCTCTTATTTAAATGTGGTGCGAGAGTTCGTAGGCACTGCTGCTCAGCTGTTGTTTGGGCAGTTTGCCTGAACCGCACTCTAATTTTGTGACATTTGTGTTTGGTTTCATATACACTCACTAGTACTGACAGTTCTTCATTTTGTGCATCCATTCACTTGCCCTTCAAACTGACTGACACTACTGGGACTGACATTTTGATTGTTATTTTGGTTCATTTTGCTGTAATAAATATTATGTTTGAATTT